TTTTAGAAACTGTTAATGGTATTGTTGGGTTTGTAAGATATTTGGTTTTGCAGTAGAGATTTATTCTTTTTGTACATGATCACTACTATTGTCTCCTTGATTGATTGATTTTTTTGTTTTATGGCTTTATTCATGGGTGTATACATCAAAGTTTTCTACTTAGTTCATCTTCTCTTTTGGGATTTTAAGGCATGACTATTCCATTATGGCATGTTGTGATTTTCTTAGAGTCAATAACATATTGAAATATTTACAATTGAGAAGTTGTAAAATAAAATTTAGATATATATATATATATATGCGGGTAATAATGGATGGTTTTCACAATGATTGATCTGGGTGGATGTTTAGCATGAAATCTGTCAACTAAATATGTTGCTCAAATGATGTGGTTTTATTTTATGTTCTTCATCCTTTCCTTGACTGCCTTTTTTTTTATTATTTATAAATATTATTGAGAAACAATATCTGGTTAATTAGTTTTTCATCCTGATGATGGGTTTTTAATTTTCTGCAGATTCAATGCTGTTTTTGGTTAATCAAGCATACTTGATGGCCGATGGTTACACATATGGATAAAATGTCAGCTCCTTCATCAAGGGAGTGTGTCCAACGCCTCTATGACAAGGTATATTCTTTTCCCTCATAAAAAAATTATGCTTTTTCTTGATTACTATTTTTTAAACTGCCTATATGTTTAAACCCGTAACTACCACGTGGTTGATGCAAATGTTGAATGGAGGTTCTGTTAGATATACAGAAGGAATCTGTGTATATGCATGCTTGTGCTTGTGTGCTGTCTGTATTTTTTGTGCAATCATGCTCCATAGTTTCCTGTCATTTTACGTTCATATTTTTACTTTGCAGGTTATTGAATTGGAGAATAGGTGTCGGAGGTCTGCTCAAGAAAAAATATAGAACTTCCTTCATCTTTGCCCTCTGGCGAACCTTCCTCTCTTAAAGTGCCATGGACGAGTTATGGTCCGTCAAACATTCGAATAGTCCCATTTCCAACTCGTGAATACACTGATGATGAGTTCCAGTCCATCATAAAAAGTGTCATGTGTGTACTGTATGTATCTCTTGAATTTTTTATTTCTGTTTTTTTCTTTTGCTTTTCGATTTCTGTATTGTTCATGTTGTAATCTTCAGATCACATTCAATATTTCTTAGCATTAATATATTGACATTTTCTGTTTGGTTGTTTTGGAACTTGGATGAGCAGGCATCTTTTGCCCAATTTCTCGGTTGATCAGCTATTCTGTGTTTGAGAAGGTTTGCTACCTGTTATTATATTTTACTTGAAATAAAGCTCAAGATTTACCTTATTCACCTCATGGTTTCTGTTTATTTCTCTATGTTTATTTTTTCTTGGTTAATGTTTTGGACGAGAGTAATTTGTTTGTCATCCTTTATGTTCCTGACTACAACTTGTTTTTTATTCATAATGTTTCATATAAATATTATTGAGAAACAATATCGGGTTAATTAGTTTTTCATCCTGATGATGGGTTTTTAATTTTCTGCAGATTCAATGCCGTTTTTGGTTAATCAAGCATACTTGATGGCCGATGGTTACACATATGGATAAAATGTCAGCTCCTTCATCAAGGGAGCGTGCCCAACGCCTCTATGACAAGGTATATTCTTTTCCCTCATAAAAAAATTATGCTTTTTCTTGATTACTATTTTTTAAACTGCCTATATGTTTAAACCCGTAACTACCACGTGGTTGATGCAAATGTTGAATGGAGGTTCTGTTAGATATACAGAAGGAATCTGTGTATATGCATGCTTGTGCGTGTGTGCTGTCTGTATTTTATGTGCAATCATGCTCAATCATGCGCCATAGTTTCCTGTTATTTTACGTTCATATTTTTACTTTGCAGGTTATTGAATTGGAGAATAGGTGTCGGAGGTCTGCTCAAGCAAAAATATAGAACTTCCTTCATCTTTGCCCTCTGGCGAACCTTCCTCTCTTAAAGTGCCATGGACGAGTTATGGTCCGTCAAACATTCGAATAGTCCCATTTCCAACTCGTGAATACACTGATGATGAGTTCCAGTCCATCATAAAAAGTGTCATGTGTGTACTGTATGTATCTCTTGAATTTTTTATTTCTGTTTTTTTCTTTTGCTTTTCGATTTCTGTATTGTTCATGTTGTAATCTTCAGATCACATTCAATATTTCTTAGCATTAATATATTGACATTTTCTGTTTGGTTGTTTTGGAACTTGGATGAGCAGGCATCTTTTGCCCAATTTCTCGGTTGATCAGCTATTCTGTGTTTGAGAAGGTTTGCTACCTGTTATTATATTTTACTTGAAATAAAGCTCAAGATTTACCTTATTCACCTCATGGTTTCTGTTTATTTCTCTATGTTTATTTTTTCTTGGTTAATGTTTTGGACGAGAGTAATTTGTTTGTCATCCTTTATGTTCCTGACTACAACTTGTTTTTTATTCATAATGTTTCAAGAACAGAAGATAAAGAGGTCTTTATATGATGGGGCTGGAAGATGGGATATTCCATCTCTCATGGTTTATTGCATATGATTTGCAGGTTGGTTCTTTGTTCTTTTGTATTTTTGTTTAATTTATGAAGAAGTCTCAGCAAGAATTCAATCAATGTAACCCCATTTTTTATATTATAAATTTTTTATTTAAATAATTATTGCCACCATTGCATGCTCTTGTTTTTTTGGAAGATTTTTGAAATATTAATCTAACTTCAAATTTCAGTTCTTTGGCTTTGTAGGATAGAAGTCTAACTATTGTTGCATGGCTCTAGTATTTGCACTGTTGAACAATGATTGTGTTGAACAATGATTGAGTCTCAACATTGATCAACTTGCAAGAAAGGAAGTGTCTCCTCTGATTGATAAAATGTAGACTTAATGTACCGTAGGTATTGTGGGTTAGGTTAGATCATGAATATAATTAGGTACACTAGGCAAGAAGAGTGAGATGGTCTATTGATAGGTTATGGTGCGTTGGTGGCAATCTAGATCAAGTTCTATTTGAATAAGAGTAGAAAATATAACGTTGGGCTTTTCAGTGCTTGTCATCCCTAACAATTTTATGTGGGGGGTTTTTTTTTCTTCTGGTAGTTTGATTTCCTCTGCAGTTTGCAGTTTCTTTTGCGATTATTACAATTTGCACTATGGATAATCTTTTCAAGAACAGTGATAAGATAGTTGTGTTCATTCGCTTCTTCTTTGGACTAAGTGCAATTATGCCGTCAGTTGCTTATATAAATTAGAAATTGGAATAATGGGTATAGGAGCTGGAAACCTATTTTAGCGCAGATCTCTATGGTACCTATAATCAAATAATGTAAGTAGTACTTTTGTATCACAATATGGATCTGAGGGAAATTTCCTTGAAATGAATTTCGATTATAGTTGGGACTCAGATCTCTTAGTACACTATTGTCCGACCAAGATTTCCCCATCAATATGCTCAATTTGACTTCACATGTGATTGACGAGTTTCCATGTTCCTAGTTGCCTTTGGATATTTGTGTACCTATGCTTAGTACACGTGTTTGACAATGATTTCCCCAGCCACCTGCCCGATTTGATTGCACAAGTAGTTAGCCAGTTTTCCTGTTCCCAATTGCATTTAGATATTTGCGTGTACCTGTGCCTAGTACACAGTTGTCCGACCAAGATTTCCTCAGCCACCTGATCGATTTGAATGCACAGGTGGTTGACTAGTTTCCCTGTTCGCAGTTGCTTTTAGATATTTGCATGTACCTGTACTTAGTACACTGGTGTCCAAAAATGATTTTGCCAGTCAGCTGCCCGATTTGATTGCACAAGTGGTTGGCCAGTTTTCCCGTTCCTAGTTGCCTTTAAATATTTTCATGTACCTGTGCTTAGTACATAATTAGTTCTCCGACAATGATTTCCAAAGCCACCTGCCCGATTTGATGGCACAGGTGGTTGGTCAGTTTTCCCGTTCCCATTTGCCTTCAAAATATTTGTGTGTACTTGTGCTTAGTACACAGTTGTATGACCAAGATTTCCCTAGCCACCAGCCCGATTTGAATGCACAAGTGGTTGGCCAGTTTCCCTGTTCCTAGTTTTCTATAGATATTTGCGTGTTCCTGTACTTAGTACACAGGTGTTCAACAATGATCTCCCCAGTCACCTACCCTATTTAACTGCACAAGCAATTGGTCAGTTTCTCCGTTCCCAGTGTCCTTTAAATGTTTTGGTGTACTTCTGCTTAGTACAAAGTTAGTTGTTCGACAATGATTTGCAAAGCCACATTTGATTTGACTACACAGGTCTTTGGCCAGTTTCCACATTCTCAGTTGCCTTTAAATATTTACTTGTACCTGTGCTTAGTACACAGTTACTTGATCGGCAATGATTTCGACAGCCACCTGCCCGATTTGACTGCACAGGTGGTTGGACAATTTCCCTGTTCCCAGTTGCTTTTAGATATTTGTGTGCACTTGTACTTCGTACACAGGTGTCCAATAATGATTTCCCCAGCCACCTAGCTGATTTGACTGCACAGGTGGTTGGCTCGTTTCCTCATTCTCGGTTGCCTTTACATATTTGCGTGTACCTGTAGTTAGTACACAAGTGTCCGATAATGATTTCCCCAGCCACCTGCCCAATTTGACTGCAAAGGTGGTTGACTAGTTTCCTTGTTCCCAGTTGCCTTTAAATATTTTTGAATACCTATGCTTAGATCATAGTTAGTTGTCCGACAATGATTTCCCCAGCCACGTGCCCAATTTGACTGCACAGGTGGTTGAATAGTTTCCTTGTTCACGGTTGCCTTTAAATATTTTCGGATACTTATGCCTAGATCATAGTTGTCTGACAATGATTTCAACAGCCACCTGCCCGATTTGACTGCACATGTGGTTTGCAAGTTTTCCTGTTCTCGGTTGCCTTTACATATTTGCGTGTACCTGTAGTTAGTACACAAGTGTCCGACAATGATTTCCCCAGCCACTTGCTCGATTAGACAGCACAGGTGGTCGGCCAGTTTCCCCATTCTCGGTTGCCTTTACATATTTGCGTGTACCTATAGTTAGTACACAGGTGTCCGACAATGATTTCCATAGCCACTAGCCCAATTTGACTGCACAGATAGTTGACTAGTTTCCTCGTTTTCGGTTGCCTGTGAATATTTTCAAATACCTATGCTGAGATCATAGTTGTCCGACAATGATTTCCTCTGCTACCTGCCCCATTTGACTGCACATGTGGTTGGCCAGTTTTCCCGTTCCTGGTTGCCTATAGATATATTTGTGTACCTGTACTAAGTACGCAGGTGTCCGGCAATGATTTCCCCATCCACCTGGCCGATTTGACTACACAGGTGGTTGACCAGGTCATAGTTGGACGACAATGATTACCCCAGCCACCTGCCCGATTTGACTGCACAGGTGGTTGGTGAGTTTCTCCATTCCCGGTTGCCTTTACATAATTGCATGTACTTGTAGTTAGTATACAGGTGTTCAACAATGATTTACCCAGCCACCTGCCCAATTTGACTGCACAGGTAGTTGTCCAGTTTCCCCGTTCTCGGTTGCCTTTAAATAATTTCGTGTTCGTATGCTTAAATCATAGTTCTCCTATTACGATTTCCTTAGCCACCTGCCTGACTTGACTGCACAGGTGGTTGGCCAGTATCCCCGTTCCCGGTTGCCTTTACACATTTGCGTGTACCTGTAGTTAGTACACACGTGTCTGACAATGATTTTCCCAGCCACTTGCCCGACTTGACTGCACTGGTGGTTGGCCAGCTTCCCCATTCTCGGTTGCCTTTACATATTTGCGTGTACCTATAGTTAGTACACAGGTGTCCGACAATGATTTCCCCACCAGCCTGCCCGATTTGACTGCAAAGGTGGTTGTCCAGTTTTCTCGTTCCCGGTTGCCTTTAAATAATTTCGTGTTCGTATGCTTAGAACATAGTTAGTTCTCCTATAATGATTTACCCAGCCAGCTGCCCGATTTGACTGCAAAGGTGGTTGTCCAGTTTTCTCGTCCCCGGTTGCCTTTAAATATTTTCGGGTACATTTGCTTAGATTATAGTTGTCCGACAATGATTTTCCCAGCCACTTGCCCAATTTGACTGCACAGGTGGTTGGCCAGTTTCCCCGTTCCCGGTTGCCTTTACATATTTGCGTGTACCTATAGTTAGTACGCAAGTGTCCGATAATAAATTCCTCAGCCACTTGCCCAATTTGACTGCACAGGTGGTTGACTAGTTCCCACGTTCCTGGTTGCCTTTAAATATTTACGGGTACCTATGCTTAGATCGTAATTAGTTGTCCGACAATGATTTCTGCAGCCACCTGCCCGATTTGACTGCACAGGTTGTTGACTAGTTTCTCATTCCGGGTTGCCTTCAAATATTTTCGGGTACATTTGCTTAGATTATAGTTGTCCGACAATGATTTCCCCAGCCACCTGCCCGATTTGACTGCACAGGTGGTTGGCTAGTATCCCCGTTCTCGGTTGCCTTTACATATTTGAGTGTACCTGTAGTTAGTAAATAGGTGTCCGACAATGATTTCCTCAGCCACCTGCCTAATTTGACTGCACAGGTGGTTGACCAGTTTCCTCATTCCTAGTTGCCTTTAAATATTTACGGGTACCTATGCTTAGATCATAGTTAGTTGTCCGACAATGATTTTGCAGCCACCTGCCCGATTTGACATAGGTGGTTGACAAGTTTTCCCGTTCTCGGTTGCCTTTGCATATTTGCGTGTACCTATAGTTAGTACACAAGTGTCCGACAATGATTTCCCCAGTCACTTGCCCGATTTGACTGCACAGGTGGTTGAATAGTTTCCTCGTTCCCGGTTACCTTAAAATATTTTCGGATACCTATGCTTAGATCATAGTTAGTTGTCCGACAATGATTTCCCCAGCAGCCTGATTGATTTGACAATACAGTTCGTCGCCCAATTTTTCGATTCTCGGTTGCCTTTAGATCTATTTGTGTGTGCCTGTACTTGGGACACAGGTGTCCGGCAATGATTTCCTCAGCCACCTGCACGATTTGACTGCACAGGTGGTTGATCAGTTTCCTCGTTCCCAGTTGCCTTTAAATATTTTAGTGTACCTATGCATAGTTGTACGACAATGATTACCCCAGCCACCTGCCCGATTTGACTGCACAGGTGGTTGGTGAGTTTCTCCATTCTCGGTTGCCTTTACATAATTGCATGTACCTGTAGTTAGTATACAGGTGTCCGACAATGGTTTCTCCAGCCACATGCCCCATTTGACTGCACAGGTGGTTGTCCAGTTTCCCCGTTCCCGATTGCCTTTAAATAATTTCGTATTCGTATGCTTAGATCATAATTAGTTCTCCTATAATGATTTCCCTAGCCAGTTACCCGATTTGACTGCACAGGTGGTTGACCAGTTTCCTTCTTCCCGGTTGCCTTTAAATATTTTCGTGTACCTATGCATAGATTATAGTTCTCCGGTACTGATTTCTCCAGCGACTTACCCGATTTGACTGCACAGGTTATTGGCCAGTATCTCCGTTTTCGGTTGCCTTTACAGATTTGCGTACACCTGTAATTAGTACACAAGTGTCCGACATTGAATTTTCCAGCCACCTGCCCAATTTGACTGCTCAGGTGGTT